TCTATGGTACGACGAATGAACCAGTTTTTAGTGAAATTAAAGATAGTTGCCGTCAAAATGAGTGAGTTTGTTATGTTTCAAATGGGCCTTTGGAGTAGAGGTAGAAATCAAAACAAACCACAGACCAAATGTACAGTAAAAGGCCATTCGCTATTGTTTCAAAGAGTCCTGTTATTTTAAATCTGCAAAACTCTACGCGAATATTGTCTTGTCTAGTACCCAATGTTAGAGCATATTTTACAAATGCTAGGGTGGTTTTCTCAATTCTTGGTACTAGACGACTGTATAAAATCGAAATTCTGATACATTTTCTTTATTGTTAAATTGTCCCAACGCAAGACTGATCAAGAATCGCAACAGTATTACATTATCAACTGCAGTGTTTGAAATACCTCGAAATTGTTCACCAACTTTGCCAACTACCCCCACCCCTCACACCCCAACCCACGAGATTTTGGGTGGGAGTGCTCCTCAGCCAGTTGAAAACTGAGTCCAAAAAGATCGACTCAGAGAGTGCATTTTGTAAACAAAATTCTGTTTTCATCCAAAAATGCCTTATTTTTTTTCTTCTAGAATGGCCCTACAAGCAAGTTATTAGCATTGCATTGCAAATTAGTATGTTCCATGCACACCAAATCACTCTTTTTTAATGAAAGGAGACGACCACGAAGGTCTGAATAATGTCTAGTCTCTTTGATCTCGAATTTTATCTAGATCTGAGAAGTGAGTGAGAATCTAAAACATATTCCGTTTCGTTAATTAAAGCACACCGCGAACAAAATGTTACCAAACCACGGGGCATGTTAAGTTTTCTTTGTAACCCGCCAGACTGGAAAATTGTATCAACACATTTTCATCCGCCATATAAATGGTTCAACATGGCGGTGACTCGCGGTTCTAAACCATTCGTTGTGGGAAAAATATACTTGTCTGTGGGATGAACCCTGGGAGACAAATGTGTATTCGGTTGAATTGACTCTCCCTTCGGTGGAATATTCCGCGCTATACAGGCCAATCAAGTGACACGTGTAGCATGAGGAATATTCATCGCGTCATTTGCATATTATGTTCACAGGAATGCCAGCTAAGCGCTGTGTTCAAACTTACAGTTTTGAAATAAAAATAAACTGAATGGTAAAAAATGTTTAACGTTTAAATCTCATATTTTAAATTTAAATGCCCATATTTTGAATTTAAATACTCATATTTTAACATTCGTTTTTTAAATGTTAAATTTAACTGCTCATATTTTTTAATTAAATTGTCAGATTTCAATGCGTCATAGTTTTAATTATGGCTCTAATGGCACGCAATAGTTTTAATTGTAACTACAATGTGTGTAAAATTGATCGGTGTAACTTTTTGTTTCTATTTAAATATGCATATAACTTTATTAAACTGTGTGAGACAGGTGCTCATCAGTCTACTGCCTACTTTTCTCTAAATTACTAGAAATAGTTCGTTAGGTTATGCAAACAATTGCTGAAGTACGTGTAAACTTTCATTGGATGTTAGATAATGACACATCAGTTTCGCACTTTACTAATTTATTAAACATAACACGCAAATGCGCAAATTACACTTGTATTGTTTAATTGCATTTTGTGCATTAATTGCATAAGTTTCATTCCGCTGCATCTGGAAAACCTTATTTTATCCAATTTGCATAATATTAAATAGCCTGCATGTTAATACAATTTAATTTTGGTGTACCTTTATAAATTAATGACCGGATATAATTAATCGTCCATATGTCGCCATTCAAAAATCAGCATACAAGGTATAGTCAACATAGAGTATTATACACTAACTTTGTTAAGATATATTTATTTAAATGTATCCGAGTTATTATGCAATTTTGTTTAATAAAGGTGGGAGTCTGTTTGCATTTCGATTTAATTTTATTTGTAGCCCAATGTTTTGTTCTGTAGGAGGAAATAGTGTCAACGATGAAAACGTGGCCCAGGGCATTGTGCATTTTGTTGTTATTCAACAATGTGTATTGTACAACAATTTCAAGTGACATCACGGTTGATACTACACTCACACAGTCTGGGAGTCCGTATGAGGTAAACAATGATATAACTATCAATGACGGAATTACTTTAACCGTTGATCCTGGAGCAGTCATACATTTCAGCCCTGGGAAACGATTGACAGTGGAAGGGGTTTTAAGGGCTGAAGGAACGGATGTTGACCGGATTACACTATCAACGACCCAAACACATCCGGGAACTGATCTGAGTTATGACTTTGGCGTAGCATCCATTAGGTTAGTTGAAGGGGGAAGCCCTGAGAAAGGAAGACTAGAAGTCAATATTAATGGGAAATGGGGAACTGTGTGCAACAATGGATGGGGGCAACATGAAGCAGATGTGGCTTGTAAACAACTGGGTTTTGATGGAGGTGTATTATCATCATTCACTAGTGGTAGTGGTAATATCTGGATGGACAATGTGGTTTGCACTGGCGTTGAAACGTTATTATTTGAGTGTCAACATTCCGGTTATGGGCAGAACAATTGTGGTAGGTTGTGTTACTAAATATTTAAACTTTTGTGTAGGATTAGATCAGACTTGTTAACGTTGTATGCAAATAATTTGTCGGTTATATGATTGTATGCCTTGTTTGTTATAGATCACAGTCAAGATGTGGGATTGATATGTGCAGGTAATCAACAGCCCAGCAGCGTTTTACACAACTATTGGGGAGGTGTTGCTTTCACTGGTAATTCAGCAATCACTTCTTCCCTGAAACATGTTGATATAAGTTTCACATCAGGAAATGTGCCATCAGATAGATCGGGAGCAGTTGAAATTATTGGAAATCCACCAACATTTGAAAATGTTCGAATCGCAAATTGTCTGTCGAGTCGAGTGGAGTATTAGTTTCATCATTGATAGGTTATGTGGATATAAAAGATATTGACATACAAAACTGCATGAACGGAATCACAGTGTCAGGCATTGGAGGAAGTATTGATATCACGAACGTCAATGTATTGTCAAACTATGGTTATGGCATGGAAATAAATCCACAAAGTAAGAATTTTATTCATTTTTGACATTATAAAAGGTATATCAGGCTTACTTACTGAAAAAATAAATATGATTGTATTGCGTTAAGACACTAATTTATTTGAATTAACGTTCATTTCAAAAAAAATTGGCAATATATTTCAATTCAACCAATGATAAATGAAAGTATATCATCCTCATAATTAATACTCATAGGCCCTGAAAGTCTAATTGATATTACACAAAAACATATGGGCTGGAAAACAAAACAAAAGGATAACTACTTGTTACAAATCAATACAACTCGAAATAGTAAGCAGGCATCATTTGAATATATGACCGATAGAAGTTGTTCACTGGTGTTTGTTAGCAAATTTTGAAATAAACATTGAGGGCTGTATGAATACCACAGTAACATTATATTAGTTTAAGATTCATACTATTTTACATAATGCATTTCAATTGTTTTAAAACACACAGCTGTAGTGACAAGTGACCTGCGCGTGAGTATCAGTGAATGTGATATAGATGACAATGGAAGGTCAGCTATTGCCTATTACGGTAACAGTAAAAACCCCGCTGACATTGAAATAATTGTGCATCACGTATCATTACATCACAATGGCATGTTACTCTCATCATACACATATGATGGAGATGCAGCAGTATCACTAGATGCAGGTGTGACAACATTTCATATATCAACTAATGACTTCACTGCAAATAGCTTTGGTGCCATTAGAATTAACACTCAAGAAGTAAATAGTCCATATATTTTACCAACTACGTGCATCAGTAACAATCATTTTGAAGGCAATGCTGGATGTGAAGTGATGCTACTTGAATCTGAACAGGAGACAGGTGTTGTATTTATTGATGGAAACACGGTTATACACAACGTCCTTGGAGATAATAAGAGTATTGTTAGGCTGCACAATGTAGTTGCTTACGTTAACAGGAATCAATTTATTTTTAATGTTGGACTGTATCTACTTCATTGGTCACATGATTCCACGCCAAATGGTTTACAGGAATGTAACGCCAATCTTATGCTCTACAACAAAGGCATCAAGCCTGGGCGAAAATTCACCTTGGTAACGACCGGCAGTGGAATTACTTTCAAAGATAACCACTTTGAAAATCCAGCAAATGATTTTGAGTTTAGTGGGGAGAGTGGTAGCGATGTCACATCAATTGACGTTATTGATAATTGGTGGTCTATAGACTCTGCAGCAGATATCAAAGCGAAAATACGCGATAGCAGTTTCGTCAATGGGTTTCCCCATGCAGAGTTTCTTCCATTTAAAACGACATCATCTGTCAAAAGCAGTAAGTTGTGGTAAATAGTTGTATAGAACTTAGTTAGAATTAAATTTTTTCTTCAATACCAATCTTCTCATACTATACGTACTAGTTGATTATATTGACGCGGTCATTCTATAGTATTAACATATATAGGTTATTTGCAGATCAATGTCCAAATGGCTATGTTCTACTTGAGAATAATTGCTACAGTTTACCTGAAGGGTCAGTGTCCATTAATGATGCGCGACTAAAGTGTACAGTATGTTGATCTTGATTTTTTCTACATAGTCACTTGCTTTGATGTATGTTATATCTTCTAGTGTTTCGGATGAGTGAAGTTTACAATTGTTTATGTTTTACCATGGGGAAGACAATGCTTTTTTTAAGCAGAACATTCCAGAAACAATTTTCAGTAACCAATCAAGAACTCTTATAATGGAAGTTATTAATTGAATGATAAATCATACAATCCACGTACGTGGATGTTAATTGTATAATTGGTTCAGTGAGCGGTCTCGAATTTGAGACAGGGTTACGCCAGGTATATATGTCATAAACATGTAAAATGTGAAAGAGACGTATACAACCATTTTATGTAATCTATTGTCCATGGATATACTTTGAATTGATTACATATACTTGTGTCATACACTCATTTTAACATGTATAACCAGCATAAGTATCGGCCGAGTATAAAAGGACACGTACAATGATCTGTGATGAAATCCACTATATTTTTTTTTGCATAACTTTATACTATATACAATATGATTTGTTCGTAAAAGGATATAGGTGGGTCCATACCGACTTCCTCAGATGAGCTTGCTGTTGTGTCTGTCATAACCATGCAAGGGTCGTTATGTATTGAACAGTTTCAAGTATGGATCGAAGATCAACCTGTAAGTATGATTATTTGAATAGTATATGGAATGTTTAAATGTATTAAGACCGTGTTCTAAAATGCGATAATCGTTTTACAAAACGCATTTCATGCTGTGCCTGTACCAACCTGAACTAATATAGTCTGCAACACTGAAAAATACTATATTTTCATTTAGGATTGCAAGTTGTTAACAGTTACTCTAAGCACTGGTAATCATGTTCTTGGTATCATTGATTGCTCCGAGAAAATTCCAGCTATGACTGTATGTAAGATTCCAGGTAAATACGGATTAATACACAATATTTCCCGTCTTTAATGTCTTTGATGTGTCTTTACTTTTTATTTTTCATTTATTTTATTTTATTATCCAAATCTCAGAAACGATTAATCAGACACTTGTGAAACTTTGTCAACTTGTAGACCTTGAGTTAACCATTTTCTCCACTACCTTGTGGGTCATTTTGGAATGAATTGAAAGTGGTCATTGTAAACCTATTTAGAACTTTAGTGGCGACATGTCTTTTCCCTTTATATTGAATATTCCGAAAATAAGTGAAAAACCAAAAATTTGCAAATTACAAACAGCTATTCCTAACTGCCACTATTTCTATTTCGGTTATAGCAACTAACAACTGTCCTGGTCAATGTTCGTCTAATGGCGTGTGTGTTATTTACACATGTAACTGTCATAGTGGATGGGAAGGAACCGATTGCTCATTATTCCATTGCCATGACGTTAATGATTGTTCAGATGCGGGGATGTGCGTGGGTCCAAATAATTGTGCCTGTATTAATGGATGGGAAGTAAGTACAGATAAAACGCATACACTCTATACAGAGAATGACATACATGCTGAAATAAAGACACCAAATGCTTAACAAGTAAATTACCCCAGTGTGCAACACTGTTGTGCAATTCTTTGTTTGCAGGGAGAAGATTGTTCAGAAAACTCATGTGACGGACTTAGCAGCTGTGATGAGTGTTCCTTTTCTACTGGATGTGGTTGGTGCGATACAACACCGACATGTATGTCAGGAGATGGCAGTGGTCCCGACCAAGGAAGTTGCTTATCTTGGTTTTACTATTCGTGTATCACACTTGGCAATGGTCCAGATTGTAGTGCGCATATAATGGTAGTATTAATGTTTGTATTATTCGTGTAGAATAATACTTTAATGTAATGTGTATTTGAATCATGCGTGTGCAATATACTAGACATTGCATTCACAGTAAAAATTCACGTTCAGTGAGGTATATTTTATGAGCGTATGTTCTACAATGTTGGACGATGGTTCTCTTGTTTGGAGATGTTCCATTCCGTTATCCACATCTCATACAAAACTTTAAAATGTGCTTGTAATGCGATTGTCAATGCAATGGTTCTATTCAATCTATTACTGCATGTTTTAATCAGCTGTCGTTTAAGTAATTTCAGAATGGCACATTGGGTTATTAATTACATAATATTACTGGTGGTTCGATGTATACATGTTTTTTTAATCAGTCTTAGTGTGATGATTTGTTTTACATAGAGTATTGATTGCGAAGACAACCAATGTGACTCTACAACTGGGAATTTTTTCCCTGGCAGTTGTCCGACTTGTCATGATGTCGAACATTGTTACAAAGATGAAGTGAGTTAATCCCAGTTAAATTAAATAAACAAATAACTTGCTGAAATGCTGAAAATAAGGCATTGCAATTAAACAATCCGGGCGAAAAATATACGTTCTTGTCTGTTTACCTAACTTGCTTCCGGGTTATCTACATAATTCATCCCAGTATCATTTATTGTAGTGATGATTACCTATTTAATACAAATTGAAGGGATAATGCCTTCATCTATTATTGTTATTTTAGCCAAGTGGTTGCCGGAGCTGGGACGAATCTACATGTCCTGATGGTGTAATTCATCCGGATTATTCAGATCCAACTCGAATCCTGAATTCTGCATTAAAAGACAACGTTAAACAAATCGATGTGAATGATGCTGTACTGTACTCGTGCCCTGCTTTAAATGTCAATGATGAAGTCGACGATTCTCTGTTGATTGTGACTCGGGACATAATTAATGTTCAAGAAGGAGATATCATATCAAGTGCCCAATCTGAAGGAATCCTTCACGAAATATTGACCCTGGTTGAACTGAGTAAGAATAATACCATTAATGTTATATAGTGTTAATATCCATATAGTTATATGAAAATATTGTGAACCCCACTTAAAGAGCAATGTGTGGACAATGATATTTACAAATAGTTAACATAAATAGGAAAATATAGATGCAAGCTTCAGCCAATACGTTGACGAACCATATCATGTAATATCTTGTGGCCTGATTACTTTATGCTGTTTTGAAATAGAAAGAGTTTTCGTCTTTAATTACATTTTGTATATTGTTAGACCAATATGAAATCATCCTTGGTTATCCTGCGGACTTTGAAGATGTCATTGCATATGCTGACTTCAGGCAAGAACTAGAACCTGCTCCAATAGACGACAGTCTTGTACATGAGAATGGGATCAGTGATATTATTGCCTCTGAGCTGAGAACAGGAGGTATCACGGTTGATGGTGCGACTGTTCATGTTATAGATGACAGTAAGTATATATCAATTCGAACCAATGCCCAAACTCAGCAAAGTGACACATCCCTCAAAACTAAGCAAAGTTTTCATGTCTCCCTGTAGCAACTAACGTTTATAAATGTATGGGAAATTTCTATGAAGCTATTGGAAATTCTACACAACCTGTCAAATCGTATTTCATTGCTCACCCGGTCGGTTTAGTCTTTGATGAAGGAGACATCATTATTTCAAATCACAGCAATGGTTTCTTAGCAGATGTCGTAGGTATTGATGATGATGAAGTTAATGCAACTTTTGTGCGAACACAGGTTACATATTGCAGTACTGCTGCAACTTTCCAACCAAGGTGAGTTGCTAGATAGTGTTTCTTGTTCATTGCAGTCTCTTAGAGTATTTGACATTAATATAATATGTATTGACCAATGATTGAATATGTGTTCAGTATCCTCTGCTGGACCTTCAACCATTTAATTCACCCTATGTCATTTTGGACCAACGCATGATAGGTAAACTGCCAAGGTAAATTTTAGTTGAAATCACATTTTCGACCAGACAACACTGAAATGAAGGATTGCCTTGGAAGTTGTGGTGATTAGTGTAATAGACTATTGATTGAACTATTATTCCGGAAGAAGGTACTATAGTTCATAGCATCACAAACCACCCACCACCGCTATTTGATATTAATTTAATATTTAATAACTAATATCCAATAAAATAATACATACATAAAAAAACATACATTCTACTGCCATGGCTATGTTAGGCATTGCTGTCTGGGGGTCTTTCAAGCAATAGAAAATAAAACGGGAGACATTTTCAAAATAGGGCCGCCATTGTATAATCACTGTGTACTCTATATTTGAAAGGTTAATTATTCACTTAGAGCTCTCAAATCATGAATTTTCGCAGATGTTGGCTGTAGGGAAAGTATTTAAATAAGCACAACTATCTTGATATCATGGTGCAACTTGCTGGATGATATGGCAAATAAACATTGAAGACTGGCTGTCTCTGAATCCTATATGCATTAGCAACAATAGCAAAGCATTGTGTACATGACATTGGGACATGAGGTTATGATTGGAAAAGTTAGTTTTTCTGGCTTGCTCTAGCCCTAGAATGTGATTTATTATTTATTAATTGGGATGAAGAAGTGTAGTAGTGACCAGATGTACATTTTGTGTGACAAAGCCTTTTTTCTCAGATACACCTATGAGTCCACTTTGAAGAGTTGAAGTGTCATGGAGTGCAGTCTTGTGGGATTTTTCTTAACTGAGTACAAAACCTGTGATCTCAGAACTGATAGTCTAAACTGACAATGCTTTAACAGGGTTTCTTTACATACGCATTTGACTGCCAACTGCTGTGCGTATTGGAAAAACCATCCGTGGAACTAACGGAAGCACAGACGAAATCAAAAACCTTGTAGGCTGCTCTCTTCAGGATATACTTCACTGACGACTGGTGAATCATGTATAAATAAGCGTCTTTCAAATTCAAAAACACAATGAGGTCGTTTGGTTTGAATTATCTGATAACATGTGAGATGACCATCTTATTTTTTGTTTAAATTTAATAGATAGTTTGAGAGGTGGTGATATTTGGCTTTCTGAATAAATCAGTACGTATTTCAGATCCAAAGCTACCATGTAGTCGTTTGATTCTTTAATTTAATTTAATTTAATGCATAGATTGAGAGGTGTTAGTTCTACTAGCGGTTGTGCATTAACTGTTGATTTTTAAACTAGAAACAGTTGATCATAGAAAGCAAGATTACTTGATGGACACAGAATGATTACTTCCATGGAATAGATGCAGTCTCTGGATGAATTGCTCTTTTGATTGAACTGAATAGTACTACCATTAGGGGTGGTACACACAATAAAATTATTCAGTATCTCATTCTGCGTTCTATGACAAAGAGTAAACGTATGAATATGACGCTGAGATACACATAACCATGGACAAACGAACGCTGAAATGTGTGGTTGAGGCGATGGTTCCAGGCATTCTACTGACGTATAACCATTTTGCACGAAGCAATTCTGTGTAGGTAGAAACCAACTAACCTGTGCAATGTTTTGGGGGGTTTTATGTAATTATATTTACATCCTCAAACAAAGAATGTGTTTTGTCAAAAATTATCTAATAGTTTAAATAGGAAAATTCTATGTATGATAAACAGGTTAGTTGTAGCAAATTGTAAAATACAGCGCTTTATTATTTATTCTGAAATTAACACTTTTAACAGGCGACTGCAGGAATTTCGGGTGTCAAAATCCATGTTATAATGTTATGTTATAGTTCTAATTAGTGTAAACTTTGTATTTACCAAATAGTCATGTTAATGTGCATATGTTATTCCATTAATTTGCATCATGTGTTAAAGTATTAAGACTGGAATACACCGCGTATCTGATGGCGCTGAAGTAAATGTTGATCTAACATGTACTGGAGGAAATAAAATACCTGGTCTCCTTATCTTGCCAAAAGTGCATTCAAGCGACTTAGACATTTCAGTAGGTGACACAGTTGTGAGCAATCCAAGTTTGGCCTTTATTGGAAAGGTGCGTATATACATAATATCTTATTGTGAAAAAGAACTAACATTATTTGTTCACTTTCAAACAAACTTTTCTTAATTATTTCCATCAGTTTGTGATCGAAAATCCTTGCCAATGAGATATATAAAACACAATCCCTCGAGTATTTTATTATAAGTCTGTCAGTAAGAATGGCATGCTCACTTAAAAATTCTTTGATAAAATCTTTATATAGCATCGAAATATACAACATGAGCTGTGCACTGCAGTGGTTGTAACATTGACAATAAATAGTTCCAAACGCTTTTTTACAAACATGATCATTAAATCATTGACAGTTGCATACTGGAGTGAGAATGTTTACCAATGATATACCATCCTTATTGTATCAGGTCGTAAGTTCTCGTACATACAATGGACATGTATTTATAGAGCTGTTGGAAATATCCACCGACTCCGATCTCCTGTATATTGACGTGAACGACTTAGTTCCTATTTCGAGACGTAAAAGATTTGCAAAAGATCTAGTCTTGAGACCAGGGTTCAAATTAAAAGAATCAATTACTCTCTCGGTATGTTACTTACATTTATTTATTTATTTATTTATTTATGTCATGTAAGAACATTTTTTTCAGATCATTCGTTTATCCCTGTAAATTTGCAGTTTACTATTTGTTAAACCCACACACTCAGTACCAAAGTATTGTGTAAATGCTACATTTTCGATAGTTGTGTTAAATATGTACAAATACGGGTGTCATTTAAACACGCACTTCAAACAGATATTTATTTCTCTTGTCAAATCTCAATTAATGCAGATTTGAAACGAGATATTCGCTATATACGAAATTGCTTCAAAGGGAAATGTATTCTTAGGTAAAAGGGCCTCCAGCTAACTCACTTGTTTATTGGTCAATCTAAACTATTATTTAAGTTGGAATTAAAAATAACCGTAGATATGCTTCTCTCTCTACGCTGAAGCACAGCAGCTCCTGGAAGGCAATGCACCAGTGTCTTGAGCAGTGGTAAGTGGTAAGTGGTAAGTATTTGGAGTGACTAATAAACTAGGGGATAGCTGGAAGCAGTTCCTGTAGTTTATGACGTCACTTCAATTACTACCAGGTTTGATAGATATGTCTAAATTAGTTCGTGTCTGTTCATGTCAGAGTTCATGTCCGAATCTAAGAAGCAAAGCAACATACACCACATCTGCCCCAAGCTCCATGCAAATTCTGGAAGAATACACACACAATCGATGGTAGCAAGGGTACCCAGTGTCAGGAAGACGTCGGGTGTAATCCCGTGGTTGGCTAAACACTCATCATTTTAAAAAAAAGAGTACATAATGTCCACTTGCCTGGTTGGTGGCATATATGGTTGGGAATATAGCGTCCAGTCGAAGGGGACATAAAGCTGTTGGTCCCATATGCTCTGTACTCGTAAATATTCACATCATCTTTGTGACCCTCACCTGAGAATTCTAATTGGTTTCCATGCCTTTTATCTGGGAATTAAATAAATTAAATAATACAAAACTGGGTAGGCGTAAGATATTTTATTCTACAAAAATGCCTACACACTGAAAAATCTGAAGTGAACAGACATAATTGAATGACAATGCCTGATTGCAAATGAAATCATAGTCTTGTTTGCCTATTGATTGATGTGACCTGCCCAATAATTTCACTTGGCTATATGTTTACAACTTTCGTTTCTCTTTTTCCATGCTTTCAAAAAAGTTTGGATGCACGTTTATTAGTCAAATACCACGTTCTTGCACTGTATGGAGTTGCTATATTATCCATTATTGTAATTTGGGACAACCCTTGATATTTGTCTCGTAGTGTAGTATAGTTGAATGAAAAAAAAAGCCTCTCATGAGGTCTTTGGTACTTTGGTACTTAGCACTGAATTAGATTATTAGTTCATTGGATGGCTAAGTCAGCTTCCTGCATCTCCTGTCCAGTCATCAATGTGCCAGTATACAAAGACGTTCAGCGTGTTGAGTTGAACTATCACTGCCATTAACACCAGCAGTGCCAAGTAGAAGTACTCAAAACAGGTACTCTACAAACTGCACAGGGGTTGGCTTACTGGGTGTATTGGTATGCGTAGATATGCATCATTGTCATGAATGGTGGTGAATGAAAGATATACAGTAACCATACAGTAACTCCAGCAACTGACACTGACTTGCCTGGTGACAGAAATTCTACTTACAGGCCTGGTAGCAGTGTTGGAAACAATCATGCAATCACGTGGGAAAACGTGTCTGACTGTGATGCGATCCCCGTTCTTGCTTGTGATCATAGTTTGAAATGTCTCAGTGCAGTGAGTTATTTGTTTGGTGTTATGTCAGCTACACTTGATGTCACCTCTTATTTAATATGTCGATTTCATACATAACATTATCCACGTTATCCACATTAGTCATACAACATTAAATAGATAAACTAAAAATCCTATTCAATCTATTCATATAGGCTGGCCCAGTCACATACACCGTTACTCCTAAGGTGATTTTCTCGACTAAATTTTCTTTCGGGTTTGCGGCAAGTTGGTATCGGGGTCTTACACGTGTTGGAATTGGATTCGATGGAAGGCTCACAGAGTCTGTTAAAGCTGTATTGAAATGGAACCAATCGTGAGTAAATGTGTAAATAAGATGATTGTGATATGGAATTCCTTATACTCAAACGCATGTGGTTCGCAATGACATAATGTAAATTGAAGGAACTGAAATACACGTATCCATACCAATAAAAACAATTAAATAAGTTCGGTGGTTATATATACTATATCAGAATCCTGATCCTACCAAACTGCCATTTCTACATAGGGGTAGTAAAAAATGGTCGTACAACCTAGTTGATGTAAGTGTACTAACGTTCCTGATTCCAGTCATCAATATACCGGCATGTCTACATTTTGTGGTTGATTTCAAAGCAGGCATAGGATATGAGGTATGACATTGTTGTATGTGAATGATCTAATGATCCTGACTTAAGTTAGCAGCCATAAATGAATGTACCGGTACATTTTAATTGATAAATAATATGGATTTTTATGAACAAGTGTATTAGGTTCAATGTAAATTGTCCTTATTTCAGATTAAAGGGTCGCTTACTGGGGAAGTTGGAGCCTCTGCCAGTTTATCAGCTGGGGCGGAATGGAGGAAATCGAAAGGAATCCGAATAAAATTTCCAACGGTATTATCGTTTTTTAAATCTTGCAAGGAGATGCTAATTTAGAACATATATATGTGCTTTTCACTACATTTGCGTAGAGAGAAATAGGTCAAAATTGAATATAATTCAAAATAATAAAGTTCAACAATTTGATTTAAATAAATACGCAAATTGTTAAAGATGACTCACCAACATCAAGTTGAAAGAAGTAAAAACACTCAAATGTAATTAGTCTTTGTTTTAGCTGTGCATAGTAAACTCCGTGCTAAATTCACACTAACTACTCTACTAAGGTACGTGTTGTAGTTTTATCGAACATGCCATACATGCCAGAAATGTAATGCCCATTTCAATTTGCTCATTACAAAACAGCTTAACTTCAAACCTATCATTAAAGCCAGTGCATCATTTCCCGAATCCGGCCTTGCTAGTGCATTTTCTAATGCAGCTGTTATTCCAAAATTTGAAGCTCGTATTCCATCCTTCATGAAAGAATTAACGAAGCTATTGCAGAAGCTGCCTTGGTGGCTGAAAAAGATATTAGGTAAGTTACAATTACAAACACTGATGGTAAACTATCATTACAAACTATATATAATTTTGATATCGATCACTTTGTTTTGCAAATTGTGGTATTGAGAAGAACACCCATCCCAGCTTTGGTTAAGACACTTGACAGAATAATAATCTCGTCCAGTTGACAATGAATCTGGTTTTCGAAAGTTCGAGCATGATACAAGCCATGACGAACTAGTACATGCTAGCAATATTACTTTGTGATCGAGGCTTTCATTACGCAATATATATGTGATGTCATTATATTATGGATATAATGATGGTTTTTCGAAGGTTGTTCGTTGTTCTCGTAATGTCTGACTGATATTTGACTGATATTTCTGACTGTGCAATAATGACCACTGTCTAATTTCAAATCATTTGCTAGGAAAGGAAATAATGGGATTGGACTAGCTTTAAACTTTCTGTGTGCCGACAAGGTTTTCTACATACATATACAAATTTGGCATACATTTTGGGGTATATGATATTACGTATGTGTTTACACAAATTGAAACTATTTTTTTGAAAATGGTGATAATAAACTATATCAAAATCTAAGCTCAGACACAGTGTAAATATCTTTGTTCATTACATTTATTTTTGTCATTATTAGGAATCAAATCCAGTGATAAAAACGCACTTGGGATAACACTTGACATAAAAACGTCAATTGAAGGCGAAGCAACTGCGGCACTTTGTGATGGAGCGTGTGCAGATCCTAAAGAACAGATCAGAGTGGACATGGAAGGCGGAATACCTGGCATAACAAGTGATGCAAAAATTAAGCTTTTCCGATTTATCGACATAAAAAAAATATTTTTACTATTGAGACTCCAGATTGGTATGGCACGAAAGGGTAAATTTAATTTATATGACAGAGTGTCTTAACTAATTATGCAGTGAAACAATTGCTCTATGATTAGTCTGATTGCTAGGAGTGAGAGTTGTACAGTTTTGTATATTAATTGTTGGTTTTCTATTCCAAAGGAAGTAAACATGACGATGTATATTATGCATAATTGAACGATTGTACAAACAAATCTTAGTGCTAAAATGTGAGTTTAATTTTTCTGTTTAGATGGTGTCTTCCATTTTTTCCTTGTTGTCTGTGTCCTGATGGTTCACCTGGCATATTGGATTTGAAAACAAAAGAGTGTTTAGGCTGCAAGTGTTGGTGTGACCCACCACAGAATACAATTGAAGGCACATTGGTAAGGTCATACAATCTGGTTATTATAGACTTTGTTTGTTAATTAGTATTAAATGCTATCTTTACATAATTACCTATGATTTATTTTGACGATTGTTTTTGACTGAATCTGATGCTAGGATAATGCATTACAATGTCACATAGCCTTTATGATAAGAAGATGGTTTCATAGATGACTTTCTTTTTTTAGGAAAATGATATTTAGCAAATAACAGTGTTTGACCATGTGTGGCTTGGTACATGCATATTGTGTGGTGTACATTTTTGTCTTTTTTTTTTGTGACTTCGGATTACGATTGTCGAATTGATTCTTCACTTGCAATATTTGTGATAAACCAGAATAGCCAAAGATGCTATATATTAGATAATAAGTGGAGATCGTTTTCATAAGTAACTATTGAAAATAGCTAGACGTTTCGAGCAATGGGTCTTTATCTTTAGCACAGAAGGCATTTAAATGTATTAACAAAGATACCCTATGTGTCTGAATTAAATGGTGGTATTCATGGCTGATTATGTACTCAAATCAGTAGATACCAAGTTGAAGTCCAAAATGTCCACACTAATGGGTGTGACTTTGGGGATCATCGAAGATGCTGATAACAATATAGCATATGCAATAATGAGATAAATATGTATACTACATATGCACGTTTCTGCACATTGATATTTCTGGACGGAAATGTTTGTTCTGTTTTCGTCATAAAAGTTGTTATCCTGTTTCATTTTTGTTGAAACTAAATACTATACATCTGTGAACGATTCAGAATGCATCAAAGACATATTCAATGCACTGGGGTGATACGTTACATAAAAAAGTTATAGTTTATCCATTTGCAAAAGCAGCAATATATGTGGATGGCGCAAGTGATTTTATAATTGTATAGTATATATATGTTATTGTATTATCAGATAAATAATATCTGATTTTACCGGGAATTTGTGTCATATTGTAGAAGAAAAATGGAGAATGCGAGTGTGAAAAATGTCCAGATGGCACGTTGAAGAACCCAAACATTGTTCCAGAATGCCCATGTAAGTGTGAGAATGGGACTACCATGGAGATGAATGACGACAAAACATGCCCAGTAAGTATTTTAAACTATTCAATTGATTGCAAATATTTCTATGCATGGGAATAACTGTAAAATGTTCTTGATATATACATTTGCATGTGTGGATTGTACCTTGAAATTCATTTGAATACTTTCTTTCGAGTCTGTTATCTTGTTATCAATTAGCGACAGTCTGAGAGTGTAAATAACAGACCGGGAATTGACTAGACGAGACGAACCAGACCTTTACGAACCGACCCCCTAGTAATTTGGTGACTTTTAAAAAGGTCGATACTGAAAACGTTTCATATATTTAAGTTTCTTTAGGTATGTCTAATTGAGAAGCGTATTTAATAAGAACATTTGGTTGAAAATGAGCATTACTAGTATGTATTACTGTCAAACTGTGATGGGCTGCGAGATCACCTCCATAATTAGGCATATATACGAGACATAAATATGCTAATTAATATGCAGAATTTCGCATATTCTCAATTGTGTTTTGCACACAGGTATCAAAGATAAAAATCTGAGCATCATAGCATGGGCCAACTGCAAAGGGTTGTTCATTTTCTAGTTAATTTCTGTAGCTGTTGTTCATATTATAACAATAAAAGTATATTCATATTTCCTCTGATAAAAAAATCACATTTCGTAAACCCATCTACATGCACTTATATAAATGACAGGTACATTTGAGAACAACTCTTATTTTCAGCATCAATGTATACAATGAATCAATAGATTCGAGTGTTGCCTATTGAAAATGCTTACTTGGCAATTCATTTAAACAGAAACTGATGCACATCCACAGTTTTCTTTGGAAACATCAGACAACGTTAACGATTCATGCACATCTGTTAATCGTGTGAAAAAGATACATGAATGTCTGGTTTGTCAATAGTCACTGTCTGTATGTACTATGTGCCGTTTTTTGCATTTTTCTCCAAGCACTGTTAATTCAAGTATGATGCGGTTAATTATCGGTTAATTATCGTGTTGTTAAACTAATCGTTAGGTACCAGGGATCGGGGGGGGGGGGGGTTCGCAATCTTTCGACTGAGCAAAGACACACACACAGGTAGAATACGTGTCAACTTCTAGACTCAGTCGTCCGCCAAGACTCCAAGACAGAATGCCTCAGGAAAAAAGTACCCCCAAGACTCTCTCAAGGCTGACCCAAGACTGCCTTCGTCCCATAGAGATCTCTCTCAGACTGACCAAGATTCGCTTTATTCACTTCTCATGCCTCAACCAATTACGAGGGAGTTTAAAAGCTTAAGGCGTAGCCTCCAACCATTCCACTCATATAGCCAATCACACGAAGTACATAACACTAATATCTACTGATTAATCGTCTACTATATTAATAAAATACACATACCAAACTGTCAGAAATAGTTTCAGTCAATGATTTCAGTTCTGACCAAGGCGCCGCATAGGTCTAAATGGTGACAGATTATAGAAATGTGTTGAATGATATAAATCAGATATAAACTAGAACAGTTATAAGTCGTTTCAGTGGCTGATCCTTTAGACACATAGAAATAAATCATAACACAAGTTCGAGTTACTAAATGTGGAAGTCCAACAAAAACAAAACTTGAAGTTCTGTTAACTGAACCTTGAGTTACAATTGGGGCGTGGTTTCACTGAAGTGGGCGTGGTTTCCGAAATATGGGCGTAGTAATTGTTGTAACTTGAAGTTTCGTAACTCAATGTTCGTTACTCGATATCCGTAACTCGAACAATTCAGCATCTCAACATAGAGCTCATCAAAACATAAAGCAGTCGACCGCCCATCGTCCAGTACATTTATATGCACTGAATCTCGTCCAGTGATTTAATGTTATGCAAGTCAAAATAAAGGATAACAGTATTTATTTATTTATTTATTTATTTATTTATTTATTTATTTATTTGCGAACATTTATAAATTTCTCATTCGGTCATACTAAAATCAACAACGAAACGCGCGAGTATCCACCGTTTAAAAAAATCATCAACGGGAACTGTTCATATAGAGTTGGTTCGTCTCGTCTCGATCCTGTTTTTACATTTTGCTTCAATAAGCTGTCGTTCATTGTGTTACAAGGAACTCACGACTTCATAAATGTCATCTTGCATGGTATTTTTATCCATTTCCAACTCTCATTTTATGTATCCCAATTCCTTACAATGTTATAGTGTGAATGTCCGTGTCCAGATGGCACTACCAAAATTGTGACTAAAGATGGATGCCCCTGTTTCTGCAAATGTCCGGATGGTTCTCTCGGTAACATAACCAGATATGGATGTGAATGTGATGATGATTGTGTATGTGAGGAAGATGAAGTTCAAGTTATAATAGATGGTGAATGTTTTTGTAGACCAAAGTACAAATGTGGCATATACCCAGTGTGTGTCCGTGGAAGAAAAGGCGAAAACTGTACTGAACCAGATTGTACACCTTGCTCTTCATATCCATATGGTACGTTGAACAACTTCTTCACATGGATTATGCAGAGTGTCTGTTTTTGCCATTATTATATCAGCAATGAACAAAAGAAATACTCATTAGGGTTGACTTAGTGCAAATTTTAAGTTACAATAATTACTATTTGAATAATTCACAACAGAATGTTCCGGACATGGTACATGTGTTGCGGGTAAAAAGTGCACTTCTAAGTGTAAATGTGATCCGGGATGGACTGGCAATTGTTGCTATAAAAAAGGTCAGTATGTGATTAAAAATTCCCGAGTTGATAACTTTTGCGCAGGTATCATTTGCGTGCTCGCTCATAATGTGTTAAGAGCAACAAACCGGAAGAAGATCGAGGCTAGAGACAAAATTTCCTTGGGCAAAAGAAATACGACAAAATAAAAGTGTCAATGTCTTTGAACTAACACTCATCAGCCTCTGACTATGTATCATCCAAATATGTCTAAACAAGAACAACACACATGTAAAATTTGTTTGACCAAAGCAGAATAATTTTTGGATTTGCGTGGTTCAAAATCTATGTAACGTCTTATTTAATCAGTAAAACTCGCACACATATATACCTTGTACTTTTCAGTTCATCTTCTCTGCAACAAATCGTCCTTTTGATTCACGTTTCCCTCTGTCTTATACAGATTGGACTGTCATATTTTGTACCCACATTCCATATTTACTCCGCATCTTTAATAAATTGTTTCAAATATTTGCAAGTAGGTTACACATGCACAAAGAGAAAAGACATTGGTCCCTGTCAATTCTCTTTGTTTACCAATTTCATTTCGTCTGTATATATCTTTTTCTCAGATGGCTCTGATGTAAGGGATCCCCATATACGAACATTTGATGGACTGAAGTATGATTTCCAGGGCAATTGTTCATATGTTCTTGTGCAAGACTGTATACATAAAAATCCAGATTTTGTAATAATTGCTAAACACCGTTCTACCAAAATGCGTCATGGTAGGCATTATGCAGTTGTTCATGGTGCTAATATTTTGGTCGGAAATGACTATGTAAAACTGCTTCAAGGCAGAGAGGTTCTGGTAAGTCTTAACGCTGTTTTTGTAATTCCAAATTTCTTATTTGCCCAAATGAATACCTTAATACTTTGCTGATTTTGTTGTACAATACCTCACTACTAAAATAAGCCAATTAATTTCACTTTCAGTCAACCACAGTGCCGAATCAACATATGGAGTAATTTGTTTCATCTCAGAATATATGTAAAATGTATTAAAACGTTTATTAAAGCGAGTTCGAAGTGTATGACCATCGCAAACAATTCTATTATTGCATTTACTTTTCAGTTAACATTTTACACATTAGCATTTGTACCAGTTTAATCTGCTCCTAACTATGACGTAAACACATTTTCTTTGAATAGTAAGTTTTAAAAGCAAATATTTATATTTCGACTGGCCAGAACAAATTCTCTTAAAGTCTGAAATTCAGTCTGAAAACATCAATCAACAAATATATTCCCGTATTACAATTGTCACAGTTTACAACACATCGATTTGTAATCTCTGAAAATGTATCTACAATTCACTGTGCTTCTTTCAGTTACATGTATGGGCGAAGTCCTTAATTAAACTGTGATAAGTAGTTTGTGGAGGTTATTTAAAATGTTGAACTATTTCTTAATATGATCTTCGTATATCATGTTTGTGCGTGTATTAGGTTAATGGTGTTATTTCCAGCAACAAATACATGAACCTCAGCTCTAACCTTGTGATATTCACTACGGACATTGAGGTCAGGGTGAAGGTGATGCAAAGTTTGGAAGTAGTATGGGACGGTGACAGGAATCTCCATGTTTCGATTTCGTCCAAGATGTCTGGAAAAGTGTGTGGTTTATTAGGGGACGATGACAATGATGACACTGATGATTTTATTAAACCTGATGGCACAATGGCTCAAACTATTGAAGAATTTGGAAACAGTTGGCTGGTGCCTGGAAGGTACGTAAACTTCTAGACTGAAAACAATATTACAGAGAACTTAATTTATATCTTCAACAAGTTCCACATCCGCGAGAAACGTGTTATCACGATCAATGCATTCAATATCACTGTTCGATTCATAGCAAAGTCCATCGATACAAAGATCCCTTTAACACGCGTACATTTAATCCTATATAGAATGTGTGTTCTCAAATGCTAATCTGGTAACGTTATTTGTATTCACAGTTGTAATGAATAAAGAGAAGACACAGGATTTGTATAACGGCTGATAATCACTACAATAGTTGCATGTGTGCATGCTTCATCCCTTTAACCTGTTAAGATTCAAGAAATATATACCCCATGCACAAAGACATATGGATATTTAATGTATTGAACACGTGTTTTATTAAAAACTACGGATGATAGTTAACACTGATGTTCATAGCAGTTATGGCTGCATGCTGAATAATTGGGGCTCGAGGGTACATGTGATAACATTTTCGAGTTTGTCAGCAACTGGCTTGCTATTACCAAATGTTTATGATATATTATATTGTTTCTCATTTCAGTGGGATTGGCACGTTAACAGAAATATAGGTTTGGCATACGGATAATTATATGCATATATATGTACAATTACTGTAACAATAAATAAATGGGGAATACAAGTAACAAAACACTTCGTGTATAATCGTGTTTTCATGTATAACCCCAAAACACAAGTGTAATGCAATTAACATAGATATGAATGAAATGTATTGAAGTAAAACTTGTGTTAAAAGTAATGAAAATATGAAATGTATGCCAGAAATCAGATAAATATCCATGTGGGTGAATTACGTCTGTATTGTTGGGGATGTTGGGAAGATTGCCGAGAAAGTCAAAAAAGGTTCGTTTGCAAGTCGGAAACATTGTGTGGGCCGGCGTGAATACTTCTCGCAAAATCTTTAAATTGGTTGCAAGTCGTAAAAACTAAGTTAGTTTGAAAGTCATGAATATTGCTTGGAAAGACTTGTAATTTCGGTGGAAATGTATAACAGATGATCTGACTGTTTATAAAACTGGGTATTCATACATGTTTTTGGGTGTCTCAACATTTTCGTGAAAGGTTGGAATTCATGTCACTAAATGCTTCTAGATAGTCATAAATGTTTGCTGGAACATCGCAAAAAATACCTGAAAATCAGTTGGCTGAAAAGTTTTAAAATGTGGGTAGAAATGTGTAAATGTTAGATCAAAGGTAGAAAGAGTTGCCTGAAATTGTTATTAAATAAAATTAAAAACATCACCGACAATCTTAAAACTTAGAAAAGTCGGAAGAGCAAAGTCGTAAGGTTGTAAACGTTCGGTGGAGGTCATATTTTTCCAATGAAATTTGGGGGCCTAAAATGGCAATTGTAAACTCGTGTTGACTGAAAATCGAAAAAATCGTAAAGCTGCGCGGGGTGTAGAAAAACTACGAAATAGCCGGTAATCGTAAAGGTTGTCTAGATGGTCTCAGCAGTCAGGTAACAATTTGTAGAAGTTGCATGGGAAAGTCGAAAAAAAGATGCAAGAAAAAGCAAAAAGTTCGAAGTCGGACAAGTTGAAAATAAAATAAAAAACGTTTTGTTTGAAAGTCATAATTGTTGTCTGGAGAGTCGTTAAAATTTGGGTGCAAAGTGGAAACAAATTCCTGGGAATGGGTGATTTTCCGTACAATTGCGAGATCTCGCGAGATGCATGAAAGACGCGCGTCGAACGTCTGCCGCAAAAATCGAACGATTTGATTTTGAACTAGAATTTCTTTATTTCGTAGCTTACATTGACCGGCCGATCTTCAACAGAGAAATATTGCTTCCGAATACCCTTACTTAATCGAAATTGCCTATCAAATGTGGACAGCACATTATTAAGCATGGAAATGTCCCCGAAATACTTTCGCGTTTGTCGAATCCCACGCGATGTTTGACGCGTCT